CGTTGACACGAGGCCACAGGCCGAGTGCCTTAGTGCCCCCACCAGTGCTGATATACAGCCATATCGCGCTGCTACGAGTGTGATATTGTGTTCATATATATATATATATATATATATATATATATATATATATATATATATATATATATATATATATATATATATATATATATATATATATACACAAACATCATTTGGTAAATATTTGAAAAGGAAAAAAGATTCTGATAATTATACTGGTTTCTCTTACAGATAGAGATGCGTCTTCAGGATCAGCAGCTCGCACTTCAGCTGATGCGTTTGCGCAGCGATATAAACGATCTGAGAATCGTGCAGACGTGCAACCAACACCGTGAGATGCTGAACGACGCCACCTTTGAGCTGGAGGAACGGGGCGACATGTCAGATTTATGTGATGTGCCATTGTCTCCTGGATTAGGCCTGTCCACACCGCTTAAAGTCATTGGTGTCACAAAAATGAACATCAACACCCGCCGCTTCTCCCTCTGCTGACAGACACACTTTATTCAAAGAGAATGACATTATAGAGTGCACTGTAAAGAATATCTGTAGATTAACAGTTTTCATATTTTCACGTGTTTACTGTTTATTTACGGTTGTGAATTGCATTATGGGATGTTGATCTCTGCTCTGTCCACTTTTAATGTTGAAAATGCTACTCTACAGTTTAACAAAGTGACTTATTGATCTTTTAGTAGTTTGATTTAATATAATGTATAAGAAATAGAGAGAAATGAGTGTGTAAATAACAAAAAATGTGCTGCAGTTTATTACAAGGTTTCTGTAGAGTAATGTACAACACCAACCCAGACAATACATCGCTTTGAACTATTAAAAATGTTCATAAAAGTAACTTATTGACCTTTTCAAGGTAAAAATTTAAATAAGAAAGTTCAAGGTCCCGTAATGCAATGCAAAAGCATAAATAAATGGGGAAAAATATAAACATGAATCACAAAATACGAAAACGGCTAATTTGTGGATATTTTTTACAGTGTAGATCTTGGACATTGACATTTTCAGCCTTTTACAGTTAAAGAGAATAAAAAAATGTTAGCCCTCCTGTGAAATTATAATATTGTTTTTAGGGTAAAATGTTTTCTGCAGAATGTTTTTTTTTTTTACTTGACTGGAATATATACAGTTGAAGTCAGAATTGTTAGCCACCTTTGATTTTTTTTCTTCCTTTTTTAAATATTTCCCAAAATGAAAGAAAATAATTTTTTTCAACTAGAAAAAACATCACAAAATTCAAAACAACTATATTATACAAACATTTTAATTTATTTGTCCACAGAACAAGCCACTGTTATACAATGACAGTTACCTTAACTTGCCTAATTACCTTAATTACCTTAACTTGCCTAATTAACCATGTTAAGCCTTTAAATGTCACTTTAAGCTGAATACTAGTCTTTTGAAAAGTATCTAGTCAAATATTATTTACTGTCATCATGACAAAGATAAAGTTAAAAAATTAGTTATTAAAACGTATTCAATTTCTTTTCGGCTTAGTCCCTTTATTAATCTGGGGTCGCCACAGAAGAATGAACCGCCAACTTATCCAGCATTTGTTTTACGCAGCGGATATTTATTAAAACTATTATCTTTAAAATGGTTTTCTGTAAAACCTCACTTGGTAAATATTTGACACATAATTAAAACTTCACAGGAGGGCTAAAAAGTTTGTCTTTAACTGCATGTAATTTGCCTTAAATGGGAATTTCACACAGACTCTGAACACTGAATTTCTTTCACAAAATCACCCTAAAAGTCAGCAAGTGTGTGATCTTTTTAAAATAAAAAAAAAATTAAATAAAAATTCTCTGGTCAGAGAAATGAATGAGGAAAATAAAAGGGTTCCATTTTAAAGGGTTGAGTATTTTTTTAAACAACAAATAAATGGATATAACAGAGCAATATAATATACATTCATAATAAATTACATAAAAATATAGTCAACCTATATTATTGTACTTCATACATGATATATCTAATGTTTATTATAATGATGACAGCCACTTAAAAAAAGTTAATCATACAAATATTTACAATTCTGCTATGACATATCTAAAACTGGACAAAAGCATTTTCCCGAACAGCACTTCTCAGATAATCTTCAATTCAACAGACAAAACACAATGATCAGTATATGCTGTCATTACAGTGTGAACTGGTGTAAATCAACATTTCAAGGTGACTTTAAATATATCTTTTGTACAGTCTTGGTTGTGTTTGATATTACATAACATATTGACATAACTTTAGGAAAATGTAGCTTGAACTTTACTAAGGTCTTGTCTAAGGTCTATCAGCCTGGAGCTGAATCTTTCTGAATAAATCAATTCCTTGAAATGTATTTAACAATGTTCATGAATTCTATAAACACATAAGAAGATATTTCACTCTTTTCTTATTCAATAAAGTCAATATTTTATTGCTAAATTTTTTGTTTTTATTTTTGGGTGAAGGATGTTTATATGTTTACAGAGTTTACAATGTTCTTTTAAAGGGCCATGAAACACCCCTCCTGTCTCAGCAGGGGTTTTTTCTAGAGGTGTGAACCTATACTGGTCTCATGGTTCGGTTCGGTTACGATAATCATACGATTATCGATTTGGTTCGATATCACGGTGCATTGACGATGCTTTCCATACACAGTGTTATATTTTGGGGGGAGGCTATAACAAGCTCTCTGTATAAACACACAGCACCACACTGTCTCTCATTCACACACATACACAAACATAGACAGCACCAAACGAACACACACAAACACACTTAAGCCCTCGCAAAAGCAATAAAAAAAACGAAAAAAAGAGAGCAATGGTCGTAATTTTAACTAATTTTAAATTTAATTTTAACACTGCTCCATTTAAACCCTTGCCAATATGCGTTCAGCCGGGAGAGCTCGTGCCGAGCGGAGGTCTTAGTAAGGAACCGTCGGAAAAGTGCTTCTTTTTTTCTTTTTTTCCTCCGTCCTGCGTGTTTTATTTTAAACACAACTAATTTTCTCTTAAATGAGCACAAACAGTTACTAAAGTAGTCGAATGCTTCATTATAGATCTGTGCATTATTACATCAACACATCTGTTATCAAACAAAACACAATGAGAGATTCACTAGCTGCTCTTCACTAAATAACTCTAGTAACTTTAATCAATATGCAAATACAATCAAAAGTGAAATAGATTTTATAGCTTTATTTAATTCCTGGATAGGCCATTGATTTTAATAGGCTAAACCTTTTGTTTCATTGTCAATATTTTCTAATGTTTGCTATGTATTCTATAATTTGAATCTATTTGTTGTCCCATATTTTTTACATCCAACGTTGGACAGATTGCTAATCAATAAATAGCTATAGTGCTATCTGTTAGTTTTGACGTCAGCTAATGTTGTGGAAGGGCATAGATGTTATGGAAAAAAGTAATGGTAATGTAACTACCCCCATCATTCCTTCTTCAAGCAAATGCGTAAATATTAAATCTATTCAGCATTAATGTTAATTGCATTGGCATATTTATCTGATGTTTTCCCAGCTTGTAGTAGTCAATCAAAAAGCTATTTAGTTTGGCTATACAGTGGAATTTACTGCGATGTGACGGGGCGCCACCTGAAATCTTGCCTAGGGTGCCAAATTGCTTAGGGCCGGGCCTGGTGGGACACATATATGACTGTCAGCATCTCAAAAAATGTGTTTCACGACCCTTTAAAATTGTATTGTCTTATTGTATTTGCAGTGTGACAGATCTAAACATTTTAACCGCACTTTTAATATAAATATTAAAAAATGAACTAGTTTGGTTATTTATAATATTATAAATAAATGAGTCAAGTGTGAGTAAATGATGGTAGAATGTTCTTTTTTTTTTAAATAGTTTTATTTTAAGTTTTTCTAAGTACAACAGAGCACAACAAACAAACAATATTGTCTCAGAATATACACCTCATGCTGGTAAATATATGAATTGCTATACATGTGGGTTCAGCTGTTGAGGATACAAAATGTAGTGTTACACACAGGGGCGCAACTGCACATTTACTGATGGGTGTGCGGCTTCAACTTTTGTGCGCCCCCCTTCAAAACAACTATATTTTATAACAGGCAAGTGATAAAATAAATATAATAATATATAATAAATTAAAAGATATTTTTTCTTAAAGATATCAATATGCCTCGAAAAATACAGTTTCACAGTTCTGAACACAACTGAAATAGTATGAAGTAGTAAAAGGTATAATTACATTAAGCATGTTACGTCGCAAAGAAATGCATCTCATACTACCAGAAAAATTTTTTCTGTTTAATTTTCCCTCACTAAATGATTATAGCACCTTGACTAGCCTTGGTTTTGGACTTTTTGTACTACATTTGTCAAAACAAAATGATAGACATGGGAGTCCTAAAGGGCAAAAAAAAAAAAAACATTGCAATTACTTCTCACATGCATACTGTGAGAAGTGTAAGGTCTGTCTTTGCAAGAACAATTGACTGAAACTGCAAAAAGTGAAATAAAAAAGACTGTCAAATGTTTAGTGTAAAAAAAAAAACAGAAACAAACTGTGTGAAATGTTCTATTTAATTGAAATGTTATAACTTTGTTTGTAGCTAAAAGTAAAATAGTTTTGAGCAAAGAAGTTACCAAAAGGCCTGATGAATTAATATGATACATAATAAATTCATAGAAACATGCATATGGTATAAAAAATGGGGGGAGGGGTGGAATGATTTCTTTATTTAATAAAATACAATATTATACGCGTATAAAATGCTAAAGAAACATTATTAACAATATATATATATATATATATATATATATATATATATATATATATATATATATATATATATATATATATTATTTGAAACTTTTAAAATAGATAATTTCAAAAATAGTTTTGGCACAATGGCGCCCCCCATGTGTGGCGCCCCTATGAGCTGCATACCCCCTTTTTGCGCCACTGGTTACACAGTATGTAGACATCAAAAAGCCCCATAAGGTAGAATGTTCATTTTTGAGTGAACTGTCCCTTTAGCTAATATTAACTAATGCTACCTTATTGCGAGACGCGACCAATATTTCATAATATCATGCTGCATATCTCAAACCCTCTCACAGATATACTGTTGCTCATTGTGCAACAGTAAAATATGTCTCTGACAGGCTGCTATTGTTTTGAGAAAGGTGTGTATGCAAAGGTGCATTCTGCTGACCTCTCCCTGTGCGTGTGTGTTTTTAACCTGTTTGTTCAGTGTGTAAAGGCTAAAAGTGAAGCGACTCACCATGGAGGTGCCGTGGAACTTCAGGTTCGGGATCGTGATTTTAGGAGACTCTTTTGTGGGGAAATCCTCTCTTCTTCATCGCTTCACTGAAGGCACGTTCGAGGAGGCCCGTCAGTCTCCTCTGGGAATCGATTTTAAGGTGCATAACATGAAGATTGAGCCTAATGTGCTGATTAAACTGCTTCTGTGGGACACGGCAGGACAGGAGAGATTCAGGTCAGTGCTGCTCAGATAAACAAACATGCTGTGGGTCACTTTCTGCTCACTCGTTCAGCTGTTTGAAACCGAAAACTTACCCCAAACAGGCTAAGGGGGAAAATAATCCTTATTAAGAATTATTAAAAATAAAGGTGATATTAAAATTAAATAATTAATTAAAATAAAAAAGTCTAATCAAGCACCAATTCACATTCCACAACTTCAGACTTTCAAAGCTTCTTCAATATCTCAATTTCAAAAACACCGTATAACAAATTTCAGAGGATTTTCTCCATATTATATATACAGTTGAAGTCAGAATTATTAGTCCCCCTGTTTATTTTTTCCCCCAAATTTCTGTTTAACGGAGAGCAGATTTCTTCAACACATTTCTAAACATAATAGTTTTAATAACTCATCTCTAATAACTGATTTATTTTATCTTTGTCATGATGACAGTAAATAATATTTGACTAGATTTTTTTCAAGACACTTCTATACAGCTTAAAGTGACATTTAAAGGCTAAACTAGGTTAATTAGGTTAGGCACGTTAGGGTAATTTGGCAAGTTATTGTATAACGATGGTTTGTTCTGTAGGCTGACAAAAAAAAAATAGCTGAAAGGGGCTAATCATTTGGATCTGATTTAAAAAATTAAAAACTGCATATTAGTGAAGTTTCACCTCATTCACAATAGAGCGTGCTGATTGGTTCGAACCAAGTCTATGTCATGAATTAATGCTGAAAACTCGAAGATGTCATTTTGCACCTGCTGGTACACATCCAATTTTTACGCTGGATTTTACACAATGATCCCATCACCGTGACGTAGCGTCAAAATTTATTTTCAAACTGAAAGAATGAATTTGCTTGAAATAACGCAAAAACAACCCATTTTCACTTTTTGGGGGAAATATGTGTCCTACTCTCTGAAAAATGTTGAGTCATTTATTTAAGCAAATGGATGAGTTAAAAATATTTCATGCTTTATCAGGGTTTTTTAAATTTTACCTTCATTGGGTTATTTAATAATAACTGAACCAATTGGGTTAAATATTTGATGCTTTGTTGGGTTATTTTTAACATTTATTGGGATATTTATTATTAACTCAACAAGTTGGGTGAAATATTTGGTGGTTTGTTGGGTTATTTTTTAACCTTTATTGGGTTATTTAATTAATAAGTCAACCAGTTGGGTTAAAATTTTTGAATTTGAACAGTCAACTTAAATGAACTCTATAACGTTCATTTAAGCTCTTACACAATAATATTGTTGCTGTTTTTATCAAATTAGCTCTCCATGTCCTGTTTTTTTCTATCCGTTTCTCCAGCACTCTTAATTATTGATGATACAAAACGTGTGCTTTGTGGCCAATCTATATTAAATGGATAAAAATGTTGTGTCTGGAACTTAAAATGTAGTGGAAATAAATCATTTTCAACATTTTTGAAAACTGCATGTTATTTATTTACACAGCCATAATTTAAAAAATTATTAGTAGTACTAGTAATAGTAGCATTAGTAATACCAGAATTGCATGAAAATGGCATTTAAAAAATTAAAAACTGCTTTTATTCTAGCCTAAATGAAACAAATAAGACTTTTTCCAGAAGAAAAAAATATTATCATCATTTTAAATATTAAAAAATAAATTAATAAATTCAAAGGGGGGCTAATAATTCTGACTTCAGCTGTATGTGAGATTTTCAAAAGCCAAACTTGTATTACACATAAATGAATCAATTTTCTTTCTTTAGTAGACAAAGCACAACTGTTCTCATACGTATTCAAAATAAATGATCCAGGACATAAAGGAACTGGAATGGAAATAAATTGTGAAATACAATTTTTTTTGTACCTCCTAACACTCCCACACACAAAGAAAAAAATGTACCTTGTATCTTCTTGCATTTAAAACAAAGATTAGGGATATTAGGGTAGAATTTATTTAATCTTACAGGAGTAATATAAGTTCTCATTATCCAATTATGTTGTAGCAATCTCAAACAGGAGTTTAATGTTTTTGTTCGTGCATTCAAACAAAGTATATTCCAGTCCTCTACTGGGATCTTGGATCCATGCGAGTCTTTTATTTTTCAAAGTTTTCTTTATGATTTTCTCTTAATATGTTATATAATTGTGTGATTCATCCTATGATGGAACAATCTTGTTCTGTAAGAGTTTCCAATAACGACCTTGGTGGGAGCCGTGTTGAATTTTTTTAATGTGTAAAAATATAACTTCTTAGTTGTAAATATTTTAAAAAGTGTAAAATTTTGCTACAAGATTTTTAAAAGACATAAATATGTTGTCTTCATACAAATCTTTCTTATTATGCCCTTATTCATCCATAGTTTAAACCCCATGTCGCTTTTAGCGGGACTGAAATTATTATTTCCATTCCCCCTTATATAAGGGGGACCGGAGGGTGTGCTCCAACTATAGGGGGATCACACTCATCAGCCTCCCGGGGAAAGTCTATGCCAGGGTACTGGAGAGGAGGATCTGGCCAATGGTTGAACCTAGGATCCAGGGGGAACAATGCGGTTTGCATCCGGGCCGTGGTACACTGGACCAGCTCTATACCCTCATCAGGGTGCTCGGGGGGTTCATGGGAGTATGCTCAACCAGTTCACATGTGTTTTGTGGACTTGGAGAAGGCATTCGATCGTGTCCCCCATTCTGTGGAGGGTGCTCGGGGAGTATAGGGTCAGAGGCGATCTGTTGAAGGCCGTCTCGTCCCTGTATGAACAGAGTAGGAGTCTGGTTCGCATTGCCGGCAATAAGTCAGATTTGTTTCCAGTGCATGATGGACTCTGGCAGGGCTGCCCCTTGTCACCAATTCTATTTATAATTTTTATGGACAGAAAATGTCCAGTTTGGGGAACACAGGAGTTCATCTCTGTTATTCGCAGATGATGTTGTTCTGTTGGCTTCATCGAAGATGGACCTTCAGCATGCACTGGGGCAGTTTGCTGCCGAGTGTGACGCGGCTGGGATGAGAATCAGCACCTCCAAGTCCGAGGCCATGGTGCTCCACCGGAAAAAGGCGGTTTGCCATCTCCAGGTTGGAGGAAAGTCCTTACCCCAGGTGGAGGAGTTTAAGTATCTCGGTGTTTTGTTCACGAGTGAGGGAAGGATGGAACGTGAGTTTGACAGGCGGATTTGTGCAGCGGTAGCAGTAATGCGGTCAATGTACCGGTCCGTTGTGGTGAAGAAGGAGCTGAGCCAAAAGGCAAAGCTCTCGATTTACCGGTCAATCTACGTTCCTACTCTCACCTATGGTCATGAGCTTTGGATCATGACAGAAAGGAAAAAATCTCGGATACAATCGGCCGAAATGAGTTTCCTTCGGAGGGTGGCAGGGAGCACTCTTATGGATAGGGTGAGGAGCTCTGACACCCGGGAGCTCGGAGTAGAGTCGCTGCTCCTCCACATCGAGTGAAGTCAGTTGAGGTGGCTCGGGCATCTGTTTCGGATGCCTCCTGGACGCCCACCTAGGGAGGTGTTCCAGGCATGTCCCACCGGGAGGCGGCCTCAGGGAAGGCCCAGGACACGCTGGAGGGACTATGTCTCTCGGCTGGCCTGGGAACGCCTCGGGATGCCCCCGGAGGAGCTGGAGGAAGTGTCTGGGGATAGGGAAGTCTAGGGTTCTCTCCTAAGACTGCTGCCCCGGTGACCCGGCCCCGGAAAAGCGGCAGAAGATGAAAGAATGAATGAATGAATGAATGAAATTATTATTGCCCCAAATAGGGGAAAAGCAATATGAAATTAAATTTTATTAGTAGTTTGTGTTTGCCAAAATTAATTGGATAATTTAATCTATTTTTTATTGATTTTATGCCGTTTCTTTCATCAATGCTAGTTTTTATTTATGAATAAAAACTTCAATATAAAATAAACAAGGTTGTCTAGACCTGGGGTGCCCAAAGTTTTTTTTTTCTTATATGAAGGGTTAAAAACCAAACTTGACTGAGGGTGGTGAGCCCAAGCTAAATATATCAAAGTCTATTATATAAATGTATTAAATATAAAGAAAAAAAATCTTTAATTTTACTAATTATATATATATTTATATATATTACACTTTATAATGTACTTCTTGGCAGCATGATGGCTCAGTGATTAGCAATGGCGCCTCACAGCAATAAGGTCACTAGTTCGAGTCCCAGCTGTTCTCCTTGTGTTGGCATGGGTTTCCTTCGGGTGCTCCGGTTTCCCCCACAGTCCAAACACATGCGCTATAGGTGAATTAGATGAACTAATTTGGCCATAGTGTCTGAGTGTGTGTGAATATGAGTGTGTTTGTGTTTCCCAGTACTGGGTTGTGGCTGGAAAGGCATCCGCTGCACAAAGCATATGCTGGAATAGTTGACGGTTCATTCCACTGTGGTGACCCCAGATAAATAAGCTAAGCTGTGAGAAAATTAATAAATGAGCTACTTAATAAAACCATAAAAATCTAGTTTATAATACAATGGAATGTTTTTTTTTTTACTCGATAGTGATACATATGTGTCCTACTAGTGTTTTTACCAACGTGCCACACACACACACACACACATATGTATATATACATATATATATATATATATATATATATATATATATGAATAGTATTCTTCAAAAACACTACAATGTTAACCATAAAAAGGTCTACTATAGTATGTTTTCATTTGTCTATCTTATTTCAGTGTTTGTTTTTTAAAATTTTATATATTTTTTAATTTCCATTCAAAAACTATTTGTATTAGATTTACTATAATAACATTTGTTTTTATTTAACGATGTGTTTCTGTGTTATTTCCCCCCGCAGGTCAATCTGTAAATCCTACATGAGGAACTCTGTTGGCTGTATCCTGATGTTTGACGTGTCTCAGCGGAAGTCCTTTGAGCACGTTTCCCTCTGGCATCAGGAAGTGCTGGATTACGTGAAGCCAAACCCGATGATATTCCTGCTGGTGGCTCATAAAAGTGACCTGGCCGTGTGCAGAGAGGTCAGAAAGAGTGAAGGAGAAGCTCTGGCTGAGAAACTCAACATGCTGGCCTATCTGGAGGTATCCACAAAAGACTACATTAACGTCAGCGAGGCGTTCGAGACTCTGACCACGGGAATATATCAGCAGTTCCAGAAAGGCGAAATCTCCGTTCGTGATGACTGGCACGGTTTAACGGTTGGGACTTCCGTTAAAAACGAGAAAACCGTGACAAAAAAGTCTGCCTGCTGCAACTGCGGATGAATCTAAAACACTGGACACTCCTGGAGAGAGTATTGTAGTCTAAACAATGATGTTTACCACAGTGTTTTACACAGTATGTAAACTCAAACAGCACTGAACGCCATGTAACTTTAGGTAAAGGGGATCAAATATTGGAGATAATCATTAGTTTATGAATGAACAATCTATAAAAGATTGACTTTTTTTTAACAGTGTGGTAAATCATGCTAGAAGCATGGTAAAAGTATGGTAAATCATGTTAGAAGTTGTTAGAAGTGTGGTAAATCATGCTAGAACCATGGCAGTGTGGTAAATCATGTTAGAAACATACTAACAATGTGATATATCATGCTAGAAACAGGCTAGCAGTTTGGTAATCATGCTAGACACATTCTAACAGTGTGGTAAATTTTGCTCAAAACATGCTAACAGTATGGTAAATCTTGTTAGAAGTCTGTTAAATCATGCTAGAACCATGGTAGTGTGGTAAATCAGGGTAAAACCATACTAATCCTGCTGAAAAATCCAGCTTAAACGAACCTAGGCTGGTTGGCTGGTTTTAGCTGGTCAACCAGCCTGGTTTTAAAGGGGTTTTGGCTACTTCCATGCTGGTTTCCAGCCATTTCCAGCCTGGTCTGGTCAGGCTGGGAGATGACCAGCTTGACCAGCCTAGCCAAGCTTGTCCAGCTTAAACTAGGCTGGTCAAGCTGGTTTTAGATGGTCACTTTCCAGCCTGACCAGCTAAGACCAGGCTGGAAATGGCTGGAAACCTGGAAATGGCCAAAACCCCTCTTAAAGCAGGCTGGTCAACCAGCTAAAACCAGCCAACCAGCCTAGGCTGGTTTAAGCTGGATTTTTCAGCAGAGAACAATGTGATATACCATGCTAGAAACATGCTAGCAGTTTGGTAGTCATGCTAGGTTGGTAATCATGCCAGACATATTGTAGCAGTGTGGTAAATCATGTTAGAAGCATACTAACAATGTGATATATCATGCAAGAAACAGGTTAGCAGTTGGATAATCATTCTAGACATATTCTAACAGTGTGGTAAATCTTGTTAGAAGCCTGCTAGCAGTGTGGTAAACGTGTTAGAAACATACTAACAGTTAATCATATTAGAAACATGTTACCATTGTGGTAATCATAGTACTAGAAATGTGCCAGCAGTGTGGTGATAATGCCCAAAACATACTAGCAATGTGATATACCATGCTAGAAACATGCTAGCAGTTTGGTAGTCATGCTAGGTTGGTAATCATGCCAGACATATTGTAGCAGTGTGCTAAATCATGTTAGAAGCATACTAACAATGTGATATATCATGCAAGAAACAGGTTAGCAGTTGGATAATCATTCTAGACATATTCTAACAGTGTGGTAAATCTTGTTAGAAGCCTGCTAGCATTGTGGTAAACGTGTTAGAAACATACTAACAGTTAATCATATTAGAAACATGTTACCATTGTGGTAATCATAGTACTAGAAATGTGCCAGCAGTGTGGTGATAATGCCCAAAACATACTAGCAATGTGATATACCATGCTAGAAACATGCTAGCAGTTTGGTAGTCATGCTAGGTTGGTAATCATGCCAGACATATTGTAGCAGTGTGCTAAATCATGTTAGAAGCATACTAACAATGTGATATATCATGCAAGAAACAGCTTAGCAGTTGGATAATCATTCTAGACATATTCTAACAGTGTGGTAAATCTTGTTAGAATGCTAGCAGTGTGGTAAACGTGTTAGAAACATTCTAACAGTTAATCATATTAGAAACATGTTACCATTGTGGTAATCATAGTACTAGAAATGTGCTAGCAGTGTGGTGATAATGCCCAAAACATAGTAGCCCTGCTGAAAAATCCAGCTTAAACCAGCCTAAGCTGGTTGGCTGGTTTTAGCTGGTTGACCAGCCTGGTTTTAGAGGGGTTTTGGCCATTTCCAGCCTGGTCTTAGCTGGTCAGACTCGAAAATGACCAGCTAAATCCAGCTTGACCAGCCTGGTTTAAGCTGGACATAGCTGGTTTTGGATGGACTCCCAGCCTGGCTATGCTGGTCAAGCTGGTCATCTCCCGCACGCACACACACACGCACGCACGCACGCACGCACGCACGCACACACACACACACACACACACACACACAGAGAGAGGGAGATTAAAAAGCCATGTCCGCAAAATACCACATGGCTCTTGATCTGTATGTGTTTGTGTGTGTGTGTGTTTGTGTGTGTGTGTGCGTGCGTGTGTGTGATGCAAAGAGAACCCAGATAGCAGGCAGTAATCGGCCCGAGCTCGGCTGCCCTCCGGCGCCTCCGGCTCCGACTCGGCATCGGCGAGTGTTATCCGGGCCGAGTGCGGCCCGCAGCTCGCTCGCGCACATGCGGTTGTGATGCGGCTGTAAAGCACTGGCCCGATTCCGGTCAACCATATGGCAACCGATTAAGGCTGATGGCAACCGATTAAGTTCTTATTTTATCTAGTAATCTGTTAGCTCCACGTTTAATGATAATTTGAGAAAATATTCATGGTACGATAGCAAAAAAAAAAAAAAAGAATATTTAGTGTGGATGGTCGCAATGTTTAGACGCAAACAAAACAATATTATTTATAAATAGATTATACATGTCATCTAGAGAAAAACTATGTAAAATTCGCTTATTTTTGAGATAGCACGCTCCTGTGCTGACTGTTTGTTTTAAAGCAGAAGTTGGTTTCATAATAAACACATGCGTGACTAAACTCATGATCCACACTCCAATCCAGACGGTGGCGGTAATGCTCCAAAAAGCTGTTTGTCAACCACCATGGCACGAAGATCACAAGAAGAAAAAGTTTGGTTTTTTTTAAAGACTTCACGTGGAGTCCGGTCAGAAAGGTAAGCTTTTTACTGCTTGTGTACTGTATAATTAGCGAATTTAGAGCTTAAAACATTTCCACGGTGTTTGGTTGTAACAGCGTTTAGTAATTTAAAACAGTTTGATACGAAATGTAACTTGCTTTAAGAAACACGACTGGAGCTAATGTATGCTAACGCTAACAGTTACAAACAGCCTGAAAGTTCATTTTCCTTTAACACAATGTTAGATTGTAACGTGTGTAGTAACTGAAAACTATTTTAATTATTTTAAAGAAACATGAAACGAATTTGTGTGTATGCTAACTTTGCGTTAAAGAAAGTTTCTGTAGACGAATCCGTTAACTAAGATGGCAAAACGTGTTTTTTTCCTGATTTAACATTATAAAGTACCGTGGATGTTGAAAAAAATCATTGTACAGGCGTTTACTTATCCAACAGTATTAATTCTGTGATTGTGTAAATAAAAACTAATCGTTTTGGATTAATAAAATATTATTGTTTATCTTGTTTATGCAGTTAGTCACGAAAAGTGATCGAAACTCGACAGTTTACTATTCTCTTTAAATTATCCAAGAGAAATATATTACTATGCACTTTAATTCATATGTGTTAGCCTATGTGAATCAATTATATCTTTTGTTCAAGCTGTAATGGTCAGTTAATGTAAAACTGAACGTCTTAAAGCAGATTTTGATGTTTTTTTTGTTTGTTTTTTATGTTATTGACAGTGATAAATTCTGATTTAAATGAATGGGTAACAATATTTGTTGGTTAAGTCTCATTGTTCTTGTTTAACAAAGGTTAGTGAGATCATTTTGCAGTACATCACGACCAAAGAAGTCAATGGCACACTCTTTTGAACGTGAATAGGCATGCTATAGTTGTGTGTTAAAAGTCCATAAGCTGTAAACTGCTGATACATTTTCAACATAGATTGAGCTTTTCAGACATTACATTACTAATTGCTTCACAAACAGCTGAAATGGTTTATTGTTATTGGCTGTCATCATCAAAATGTTTCACAATGGTAGGTTAATCTTCATGGGTACAGAATAATGCATGTGCTTGGCCATCTTACAAATCTATGTCTCAGATTCATAAGGCTGTCACTCTGCATGAATCTCCGAATAAATCTTGTGCAACCGTCTGTGTACTGATTATTTACACTATAGGTATTATATGCATTAATTAACTTTGATAGTATTTCAGGATTTTAACTTTTCTTTACTGGAGGTTAACAATGTGATGTTTTATTATAGATGCATATGAGGAAGCTCGACTAAAACATCCACACGCAACTGTGATTTCTGACTGGTAGACGGATGAGGATGATGATCGCCCGTCATACATCTCAAGACAGAACAGGTTTGTTTGCAATTATTTTAAACACATACTGTCAACATTGTCATTGATCTATTACAACCTGTGAGTTTTAACCTGGCACTATACTAAAGTGATGTTTTGTTTTGTAAATGTATCTGATCAAGGGACAGTATAGACGCATCTATACCATGATGAAGAAAAATTACTTGGAACAAAGAGGCTGGATAAAAGGCAGGTATGAAGATTTCAGAAATCAATGCAGCACCACAAGTACCATCACCATCAATGACTATGGCAGAAATCTTAAGACCACCATGAAGATGCACAGATACTGTACATTCCAGTACACCAGGCGTGTCCAAACTACGGTCCGCGGGCCATCTGCAGCCCGCGAGGCTTTTTATAAATATCAATAGAATCTGGCCCGCTATACAAAAATGAACGTAATTCAATAAATAACCACCGGGTGTCGCTATTACTTGCATTCAATTAAGCAGCAGTTCTTGTTATGATCTATCTATCTATCTATATCTGTCTGTCTGTCTGTCTACATACAGTTGAAGTCTGAATTATTAGCCCCTCATTGATGTATTTCTTCTTTTTTAAATATTTCCCAAATGATGTTGGAGAAAGACTTATGTTTTATTTCGGCTAGAATAAAAAGCGGTTTAAATTTTTTTATGAACCATTTTAAGGTAAAAATTATTAGCCCCTTAAGTCTTCAGAACAAACCATTGTTATAAAATAACTTGCCTAATTACCTTGACTAGTTAACTTGATTAACCTAGTGAAGCCTTTAAATGTCACTTTAAGCTGTATAGAAGTGTCTTAAAAATATCTAGTCAAATATTATTTACTGTCATCATGGCAAAGATAAAATAAATCAGTTATTAGAAATGAGTTACTAAAACTAATATGTTTAGAAATGTGTGGAAAAAAATGTTTAACTCTCTGTTAAACAGAAATTGGGGAAAAAAAACGGTGGCTAATAATTTAGGGGGGCTAACAATTCTGACTTCAACTGCATATATATATATATATATATATATATATATATATATATATATATATATATATATATATATATATATATATATGTATATATATATATATATATATGTATATATGTGTGTGTGTGTGTGTGTGTCTGTGTGATGTATGTAAAATTTGGCCCGCGACGTTTGTTTTTTTGTTTGGACACTCCTGCAGTACACCTATGAACATTTACAGTCTTTGTTCTAGTGCAGTTTGAGATAAAGACATAACTTATTGCATCTCGTGATGTCTTTGTAAGAATTGAAGACATCACTAAATTTGTTAAGGTTTAATGCAGCTAGAAAGTAAAGATCAACTAGAGAATATCAGCAGTGTCTAACCCAC